CCCCCCCCTGGTTCAACACCGGGTTCGTCTTGTGGGTAAACATCAACAACACCACTATCGTCAACTACACTTGGTTTACAACAAAGAGTGTACTTGTTATGAGAGACTTTAGAGGATGGCAAATCTGTGCCTTTAATCGGGTTTTGACTTTGTGATGATTGTGAAACGTTACCACTGCTGAGGAGAGTTGGCGACCGTGGCCGTGGATGCCACAATTTGATCAGAGGAAAGAGGAAAGAAGATACATTGTGAAGATACATTTGCCGTGAAATTTTGGTTGGAAGATGGTTCAGGAGAGGGAGAGTTAGAATTAAACGAAGAAAAGAAACAAAATAAGGGCGGCGAGGATTGGTGCGAGGTTCGAGATGATGTCAAAGAGGAGAAGCATCTTTTGCGGCGCTTGAAACGTTGAGAGACGACGGGCAGCTTGCTGGATATTGAAACTCTGAAAGATTAAGTGCCCTCAAATCCCGACGAATGGTCTAATTTGCTGCATCGTGAACAGTATAATTCGAAACGCAGAAGTGAGGTGGATGGGATTCTAGACATAAGGTGTATAGTTAGTTTTGCTTGGAGAGTATTTGGAGATTTCATGGTAAGGCATTGTGGTTTTGAAATTGCATGCAGAATGGTTGCCGTTACAGAGGCAGCAACGGCCCATCTTTGATGGCCGTGATCTTTTGTTGGCCATTTGAGGGGGTTTTGCAACGAACTAGACTGTGGTTCAAAAGCTTGCCGGATGTTCAAGGTACATACTGTAAATTCAGAAGTTGATTTTCCTGGCGTCGAAGGCGGCGATCGGTTGCATATCCATTTTGCTGTCCATCTTTCTCTTCTTTCTGCGGCCGAATCTATTGAACAGGCTGGGGACGGAGGTCAAGTTGTAGATGGTGATCCGTCTATCCTCTTCTGTTGAGGATGAGGTGTGTGATCTTTCACTACTAACGTGTTTCAAGGCATCGCTATTGAAGTTTGCAGGCACCTGAAATGTTCAGGTGTTCGTTTTTCAAGTTTCAGTACGTTTAATAA